TTTGTAACGTGGAGGATGTGGTAAATGTCTTTGGAGATGGCAATGTCGAGAATGTCGGGGGTATTGTGGTCATAGTGTGTTGGCTCTGAGGGAGCCTGAATTTGGAATTGTAAGTCTTGTGCGTAGTTGAGGAGCTTGCGCCTCTCAGAGTTTGCTTTCCTGCAGCCCCAGGAAGTGTTTTTGGACTTCAAATCTCCAGCAAGTAGTGTCGGGATGTTTCGATTGAGAAGGTTCGAGTAATCGAGTTCGGTTGTACGTGTATTGGGTAGTTTGTAGGCCGAAATAATGGGGATCTGGGAGTTTTCCATGTTTAGGGTGACCGACGTGTGTTCGATTGAGGTGTTGGCGATGGGGGGGTTTGGGGAATGGTAAATAAAGTTTTTGACAATAATGGTAGTGCCGCCCCTTCGACTGTTGGGGCGGTCGTTACGGTAGATTTTATAATTATTAATTTGGAAGAACGTTTGAGTTTGCAGAAAAGTCCTGGATTAACGCGATGTCCACATCGTTTTCCCGGAGGTAGCCTTCAAATTCGTACCTTTTGGGGTACAAAGAGTTGGCGTTCCAGGAAACGATGTGGACCCCGGCTGGTTTTAAATTCATGCCAGTGCTTGAAGAGCTGGGCAATTGCCACTCATGGCAGCAATTTTGTTTATTTCAGCCTGGATTTCGCTCTCAGGCATGAGCAGGAGTTGCATTAGCGCAGGGTTAAAGTGGGTGTTCTGTGGGGGCGCGGGGCGGGGCGTTTTGGGGTTCACGGGGGGCTTTTTGGGCAGCTTGAACGGGAGGTTTGAAACGGTGGGCTTTGGGGGTGCTTGAGCCTGAGCTTCGGAAGCTTTGGCGGCGTAGGAGATGCCAGGCAAAACTTTGTTTTGGAAGCTGGCTGTCTTGGCTTTTTCTTGCTTTTGGGCAAGGAAGTTTGGGTTTTTGGGGCAAGAAAAGTAGGTTGCCGGATGGGGACCCTCGCAGTTTATGCATTTAGCCGGGATGTCTCTCGGCTTTTTGCATTCTGTGTAGAAGTGCTGTTGGGCGCACTTGTGCACTTGGCACATCTTGCTCGGCGAGTTTTTGGGCTAGCAGTTGGTTTTGCTTTTTGAGAGAGGTGACACTTTCCTGAAGTGAAAGTTTGGAATTTGCCAAGCGAAGCGACTGAAAGTCGGCGGCCTTGGTTTTGGCTTTAAAAGAAAGCAGGGTGCGGGGTTTTTGGGCAGGGCGTCTTGCAGGCTTACCTTGATCAGTTTCTGATACGTTCGAGTCTTCGCTTTCGGACCCTGAAGGGCTCCGCTCGCGAGAGCTCATTTTATGAGTTGAAGTTGAGTAGGTGGAAGGAGCTTCTGGTATTTCAAGCGCTGGTAATGTTGATCACAAAATACGCTCAGGAACACTATCCTGAACGGCACTGCACTGAGGGGCTTTTTGGAGCCCAAAAGGGGGGACCTGCACGTGCCTCTGAGGGAGACACGAGCTCGAATTTCTTTCTTGGTCTGGGGGAGGGCAAAAAC